CACCTAACAGCAACATGTACAAGAATGTTCTTTGTAGCATTGTTTGTAACAGATGTAGTAGGTAGCAACTTAGATGATCATTAGTAGAAGACAGGATAAATTGTGACATATTCATAAAATGCAATAATATATATTGTCTTAGTTATCTACTGCTGCTATAATGGAAATACCATAAGTGGATGGCTTTAGAAACAGTATTTATTCTCTCACAGATTCAGAGGCTAGAATTCTGCCTTTAGAGAATCAGCTCTAGGGTTAGTCTTTCTCTCTCTGCTCTGAAGGAAGGTTCATGTTTCCTTTCAATGTCTGTGACCTCAGCATTCTTTGGAGTTCTACCTGTGTATTGGCATCAATCTTCCCTTGAGTCTAGGAGCTTCTCAGCACAGGGACTCCAGATCCAAAGGATATACTCTGCTCCTGGTTCTTCCTTCTTGATGATAATCAGGTGCCTCCCACTCTGTTTACTTCTCTCTCCTTTTATGTCTTGTAAGATAAAAAGTGATACAGGCCACACCCCAGGGAAACTTCCATTACATCAAATCAAGGCTGTGACCTGATTAAGGGTATTGTATCCCACCCCAATCCCCTTACAACTGATTGGCTTATCAGATCAGATCACATCATAGAGGATTATTACATAACTGTCAAACCACTGAGAATCATGGCCCAACCAAGTTGACACATATATATAATTTGGACAGGAGGACAGAGGGTACAATTCAATCCATGATATATATGTGTGTGTGTGTGTGTGTGTGTGTGTATACATATATATATATATACACACACACACACATTTAAAATAAATGAATTAGCTCTACATGAAGCAACAGGTTTCATATTAAAACAATGTTAAACCCAAAGGAAACTAGAATGATAGGCACAGTATGAGTGCTTTCAAGTAAAGTCTCAAAATAGACCAAAGAAAGTTTATACTATTTTGAATACATTTTTGTTGTTAGCTGCTGTTCAGTCAGCTCCAAGGCATGGCAACCCCATGCACAACTAGATTGCACTATTGTGATTCATAGGGTTATAATTGGCTGATTTTTTAGAAGTAGATCACCAGGCCTTTCTTCCTACTGTGTTAGCCCCACTGAAACTTGTTCAGCATCATGGCAACACGCAAGCCTCCACTAACAGACAGTAGTGGTGGCACTTGAGATACATTGGTCATAACTTAAACCCAGGTCTCCTACATGGAAAGCAAGAATTCTGTCACTGAACCCTCATTACCTCCTTTGGGTACATATACATACGTAGAAAATGTGTAACAGAAACTGGAACATGAGGGATACTCAACAATGTCAAGATGGTGATTTGAGTAAGGGGGGAAGGAAATGAAATCTGGTAGGGTCAGAAAGGGGGATTCAGATTCATCCATAACATTTTATTTTTCTCTCTCACACACACAGAGATCTGAAGCAAGCATGGCAGAATATGAATATTTATTAAATAAGAGTGAAGGATATATCATTACATCCTTACATTATTCACTGATCTTTTCTTTTTATTTGAACAAATGCAACATACTGATGATAAAAAAAATAATAAAACACATTTAAATGCAAAACCACAATTCTAAACTGTCCTCCCCTGGACTTTATTATGTCTTCTAATTAATGAAAAAAAAAAGTATTTCAAAATATTAACGTACGACTAGTTATGCTAGTATTTCTTATGCATGACACTATTTCATGAGGTTTGCAGAGTGCTTTGGCATGGGGGCTCTAAGGAATGGGTTTACATTATTCTAAAAAAACTTAATGGCCTATGGTACATCATTGTTAATAGGAATCATGTAGGTATACCCCACAAGCAATCCTTTTAAGAGTTGGGTTTTTTTGCCTAGCCAAGTATAAAAAGCACCCACATGGCTTCTTGGAGAATTCTGCTAAGCAAATATGTTGTATGTTTTCAAGTACTTCAAAAAAAACAATATGAAAGCATCTACTATATTTAGGGTATTTTGCTTTGCACACTTCTTTAGCAGAACAGAAATGCAACTAATCATTTCCTTGAATCTATGTAATGAACTGCACTTTGAATGTTTTATTGATTGGTGGAACAAACAGCACCATGAACCTGGAATTTCACCACTACATATTAGGCAAATCCAATTTTCTGTTCATTGTGTAAATTAACTAGGACAATGACCTTTTTGTATTTGTGACTTTAGAATTGGAACTTTGAGGTTAAATATGCCCTTGACCCTTTTATGTCCTATGTACAGTGTAATATGTGTTAAAAAAAAAAAAAAAAAGTTCCCTAATTAGATTTTGTCAGATGTTATCTACACTCTTACTAGAATACAATTTTCTTGTCTGACATATGAATGTTTATAGTAGATATATTTTAAATACCTCAATTTCAGTACTATTTAACATTGCCAGTATTCTCAGATAATTAAACATGAATTGTATTCATATATTCTGTGTTATTTACTGGCTGCCAACCATGTGTTCTAGAGATAAAGTAATGAACAAGACAACATGACTCTCTTCAAATTGTTAATAATCTAATGAGTATAGAGTCAAAAAAACAGATAATCACATTGCAGTGAGATAAGTATATATGTGAGTTAAACAAAGATGCTAAGAGAGTGACTCACGAGGAAACCCAACCCAGTCTAGAGTGGTTAGAGTGTCAAAGAAGGCTTCCTGATGGAAGTGTTTATGCTGATCCTTCATTTGAAAGACTGGAGGAAGAATAACCCAAGCAGAGGAAATAGCACATTGGAAAGTCCCCCAAAGCAAGAGAGCATATACTTGACCAAATGTTCAGGTCATTTTTTTTGCAATACTTTGTGTTTTAAACCATACTTTGTGGTTTTATCTCTTGGAATTCCCGGCACAAGTCATCCTGAGGCTGGCCAGGAGAAAGCAACCATCAGATAGTTCTAGCATTGATCCTTAGTCCAATGCCTAGGCCCCACACAAAACCAAGTATATCAGAATTTCTAGAGGTTGGACCCAGGCATTGGAGTTTTTCTAAAAGCACTGCAAGTGATGTGCATGTGCAATCAGATTGATAATCACTGATTTACAAGATAAGTTGGATAGATGTGCTGATTTAGCCACCATGTATAAAAGTAAAAGGGGAAGAAATACTGTGCAAAGACATTTCTGAAATGAGCTGGCTGCAAACAATAGCCTGGGGGATCCCAATCACTAGTGATGGACCTAAGCGCAAAACCAGAATGAGAATGGCTCATATACTAGAACTGTCTCTTAACATATTCCAATAGATAGTTCTTCACAATTTTTCAATTCATTAATCTAGTTATGCCAAAATACTTAGTCATTCCTTACTATTTATTATTATTATTTTTCAGATACTAGGTGCTGTGAATAAATACTTGAGTAAAACAGTAACTCTACCATCTGAAAACTCCCTGTCCAGTTAGGTGCCATCAAGTCGATAGTGACCCCATGTAATAGAGAGTAAAATTGCCCCATAGGGCTTTCTAGGCTGTAATTTTTATGGGAGCAGATATCCAGGATGATTTCTGGAGCCACTGGGTGGGTTCAAACTGCCAACCTTTTGGTTAGCAGCAAGCACTTAACCTTTGCACCACCAGTGTTCCTCTCCTCATGCAGTGAAAAGGCAAATTTTAAGTAATCATAATCATGTGAACATACTATACAGGGTTGGGTATATGTTGCCCAGCTGGGGAGGTGAGGACCAGCAAAAGATCAGAGAAGATCTAAATTTGAAGAATGAATAGGTAATAGGGAGTGCAGTCCATGGAGACAGAAAGATGTCTTGTGTCCCTGATGCATAGGCTGAGAAATGTGTGATATCAATAACAAGGCTAGAAGAATTGAATTGATTGTAGAAGGTCAAGAGACCCTTTCCCATTGCTGCCAACTAGGCACAACCCAACTTTTGATATTCTCTGTAGCTTGAAAGTTTTGTGTTCACAAATCTCCATAGTGTTGTAAAGGCCACCTCTAATGAAGGTCATTGGAATAAGCCAAAGGCTGAAATCAGGAGTTCAGAGTTTTGAGTTGATTCAGAGATAGGTGAGGAATTGGGGTGCTCTTGAGGACTTTGAAGATAAGGTTTATTTCAGGTCAGAAATATATATGAAAACAAGGATGAATAACTAAGATATTCAGTCTGTCCTGATGCTACCAGCTTAAGAGGCAAAATGGTGAAGGTTACAGTTGTAGGCAGCATTAGGACCATGGTCCTATGTCACTCTTTTCCATCTGAGTGACCTCCAACTTCCTCTTTCTCCCCATTATTCAGGTACCACCAGAATACATGCATGTCCAAAGCTGAGTGAGCAATCGTGGTGGCATCTCAGGTCTGGTGCCAAACACAATCCTTTTTCCATTTAGGTACCCTCTTTTAATTTCTAACTATTCCACTACCATCCTGGAGTTTAGAATGATTTGGTCTTCCTGAGTTTATACAGCCCTGCTGGCACACCTGCACTTTTATTTTTTAAAAATAATGTAAAAAATACATTAGTTTTTACATAACGTAGTGAAATTTTTCTTCATTCATAAGAAAATGTGTAGCATGGTAATATAATACTCCTCTCAGTCTTATTCTGGCATGGAAGCTAATTTGAAGACCTGAAGTCTACAATGAAGGCTATCAGCTAAGTATGAACATATGAATCTTTGTCATTTTGATTCATTTGTTCAGTTAAACATTTGTAATGTTAGGGAATCCCTAGGTTAACAAACAGGTAACACACTGAGCTCTTAACTGAAAGGTAGGCAGCTTGGGTCTGCTCAGAGGCTCCTCTAAAGAAAGGCTTGGGGGTCTACTTCTGAGAACTCAGCCCCAGAAAACCCTGTGGAGCACGATTCCCTTCTGACACCCTTGGGATCACCGTGACTCAGAATCAAGATGACAGCAACTGCTTTTTTTAAGGTTATGGCCAGAAAAAAATGTAAGGCTACAATATTTTAAAATCTTTTTTATTATACAGCTTATTATGTGTCAAGAACTTAGCTCATTTCTTCTTCACTTTGTTAACATAGGAGAAGAAAATCTCCTGGCAATTTTACGAAGACGATGGTGGAAGTATATGATCCTGGGACTCATAGACCTGGAGGCAAATTACCTGGTGGTCAAAGCTTACCAATATACAACCCTGACCAGTATTCAGGTACTAGTATTTCTTCTTTCTTTTTCGGCTTTCCCATTTCCAGATATAGTTTACTTTCAATTTAGATTCTTGGGGAATCTGAATTTAATATTCTATCTGTCTTAATAATTTTTCTTAATTCAATATCTTTTTCCTCTTTGTTATGCAAACATACAATAACCATGTGATACTGCAGGAAAATAACTTGTGGCTTTGAATGCTGCCAACTAATTCTATGTCAGCCGGAGAATTAACATGTATAAAAATAAATCTATTTTAATCACAACTGATAACATTTTAAACAATCCAAATGCTTAATAATCTTTTCTTTTAACTTTTTTTTATGTTTTACATTTGCAACTTGGAGAAAGTAATTTTCCTAAAGGGGCAGGATTAAATACCTGAAATATTTAATTTGTGCTTGAAGATGGCCATTGTGTTTTATTTCTTCCTCTCTTTCCCTCACACGTATGCACATGCACACAGGCACACACACATGCATAAGCACATGCCAAGTTTAACTTGGTTCTTCACAATTTCTGTCAGACATTTAGATTCCTGACTAAACCATAAATAATAAGCTTGACTATTTTTGTTTCAACCACATTTCTCTTTTTTATAACAAGAGATTATGAATTTCATAGCCATTCCAAACTCCAGGATAAAACCAATATAAACCATTGTTCATGCTTTGGATATAACTTAGATTTGATACTTCAACAACTTTCATGCCATCCCATTAATTTGCTTACAGAAAACAATAACAAAAATGGAGAGACAAAGAAGCAAACAAAGTGCCTGAATAAATTTAGATATATAGATTGGATGGGAAGCAATCTAAGCCTGATTTAGATTTCCCACCATCTGATTTACAAAATGAACTTCAAAGATGTCTTGAAATAAAAGTGATTAGAGGAAGCATTTTGGCAGGACCATTTCCATGCACATATTGTATTCTGAAAACATCTGTGGGATCACGTCCCTGGTAGTGATGCCTACTGAAGCAGGAAAAGATCCTTCCCTCTCAAGTTAATCATTAAAATTCTGTGACTTTGGACTTATATGAGAAGTGATACAAGGCAATAGCTAGACTCACAGTGAGAACCCAGAAGTAATGCAGTCTACCTTTTGGCACTGCTCTTTGTATGTAATACTTATGCTTCCTTTTTGGAACCTTCTTTCTCCAACTTTAAAAACACTATTCTTTCTGATGCATTCCAATTGTGGTGTTGGCAAAGAACATTGAATATACCATGGATTGCCAGAAGAATGCACAGATCAGCCTTAGAAGAAATATAACCAAAATGCTCCTTATATGCAAGGATGGCACAACTTCAGCTCACTTGCTTTGGACACAGAGTCAGGAAAATCCAATCACTAGAAAAGGACATAATGTTTGGTAAAGCAGAGGGTCAGCTCAAGTGAGACAAAACTCCAATGAGATGGAGTGGCACAATGGCCAAAACAATGGACTCAGACTTAGCAACAATCATGAAGATGGCACAACTCAATGGCAACTAACAACTCTTCCTGAAATTGACTGCGTGCTTTATTTCCCACCTTTGCCACTATGAAAAAGAGACTCCTCCCACACCTGTGGTTTCCAGCCAAACAAAGAACAGGCAAGTGAGTTAAACATTTACCTCAAGTAGACACACACCCTGGAGAGAACAATCATGGGAGAAGGAAGGGCTGCTTATG